AATAATAATAGTAACTAAAATATCAGTTTGGCTCGGAGCTGACATAATTGCACGGGGTACAATTTGTGCTCACACTGTAAAATTCAGGCGCAACTTCTGAGCAATCCAATAATAACTTTCTTCTGTAAACTACCACTTCTGGCGTTCACAGCACACCAGAAACTTCATCATCTCAAAAAGGGAATGGCCAGAAGTGGAGGTGATCATTTGGAATAAGTGATAACTTCATTCAATAGATCGCATCATGAATATTGATGACTAAAAAGATTAGCTGCAATTCTACAACGAGAAATGGGGTTGGCAAGTAGGAAAAATGACATTTGACATCAAAAATGAAATCTGACATCAAAAATGACATTTCGATCCTTCTTTACGAGGCTTTTTACTTTAAAACTTTTTATTGAATCATTATTTTTGAATAATCTCTTTTAAATGTAATAGAAATAGAATGAAAATAAAAAATAAGACTAAACTAAAAAATAAAACGAAACTAAAACTTTCATCAATTCTAAAAAACATTGAGCAATCTAATAATAACTCAAATTTCTCCTAGCCACACAGAATCATCGAAAATCATCGAAACGATCACTGAATTCAAGTTCAACCGCAGCTATTAGATCAGATTTGAGTGTAAGCTCGCGTTTTATTCGCTCATTTTTAATAGGGTTCAATCCGCTGACCATTAGAACGAATGGGCATCAAAAAATAGAATTTATTTCCCGGTTTGAGGCTTGAGCTTGTTCTTTGGTGTAAAATTTGTGCTCAAAAATCGAAACACATCCTTTCTGGCACCTTCAATTTAGCACTAAGCTGTTGCTATGAGAAAAAGAAAAGAAAAGAAATGAGAATCTGACGCGGAAAGTTTGTGTTTCCATTTTCCAATACGGTTCCAATGCGGCTCCTACTTTGATCTAAAAGGTTCCAATACGGTTCCTTTTAAGGTTCCGATACGGTTCCAATACGGTTCCTTTTAAGGTTCCAATACGGTTCCGATACGGTTCCAATACGGTTCCGATACGGTTCCAATACGGTTCCAATACGGTTCCTTTTAAGGTTCCAATACGGTTTCAATACGGATCCAATACGGTTCCAATTCGGTTCCAATACGGCTCCTATTTTGATCTAATACGGTTCCAATACGGTTCCGATAAGGTTCCAATACAGTTCGTGCGCACACCAAGCAAGCTTTAAAAACGGATTCGATTGCTTTAACTTGTCAAAAACAGAATCACAATTGTGTCAATCGATTGTCAACCTCAAAAGCTTTAATTGATTTTTAAATTTTAAAGAAATCAATTAAACTTTTGAATTTGGAAAGATCAAAAGATCACTTTTCTCACTTCATTTCATAAATAAAAATAAAAAGAAAAGAAAAGAAATGAGAATCTGACGCGGAAATTTTGTGTTTCCATCTTGTGCGCACACCAAGCAAGCTTTAAAACCGGATTGCCTTACTTTAACTTGTCAAAAACAGAATCACAATATTGTCAATCGATTGTCAACCTCAAAAGCTTTAATTGATTTTTAAATTTTAAAGAAATCAAGAAATCAATTAAACTTTTGAATTTGGAAAGATCAAAAGATCACTTTTCTAACTTCATTTCATAAATTTTCCCTCAAACCGACAAAAAAAAAATAATTGTTTTTTCTTTAAAAATCAAAAACAAAAGAATATTTTTTGAAAAATATGATGTAAATTTTTTGCCGATTTTCATCGGATCATTGTCTTTTTGCACTTTTCAAAGGGATGTCGAGGGTTTGAAAAGGGGAAAAGCAAAAGAAAGAGCAAAAGAAACGCCAAAAAACGGGCCCGAATGATTCACATTTGTGCAGAAAACGAAAAAGTTCATTGTCTTTGTTTATTTGATTTTCAAGAAACGTTTTAATAGGGTTTCATTGTAGTTTACAAGTGCTCTTTTCACAATTCGAAAGTTTATTTCCATTTACAATACTCGAAACATATTTATACAATAAAATTTGGTAAAGCTTGGATAAATCGAAAAGTTGATATGCTACTTTATTACAGCTTCCGCTACAGTATCCCTTAAATGCTTTCATAGCCATATAGACTCTGATGTAGCCATAGAGACTCTTGCTACAGTATCCTCAAGTCTAGCTACAGTATAGCTACAGCCTGCTACAGTCCCCTCAAGTCTAGCTACAGTCTGCTACAGTCTGCTACAGCCTGCTACAGTACCCTCAAGTCTAGCTACAGTATAGCTACAGTCTGCTATACTCTGCTACAGTCCCCTCAAGTCTAGCTACAGTCTGCTACAGTACCCTCAAGTCTAGCTACAGTCTGCTACAGTCTGCTACAGTCCCCTCAAGTCTAGCTACAGTCTGCTACAGCCTGCTACAGACCCCTCAAGTCTAGCTACAGTATAGCTACAGTCTGCTATACTCTGCTACAGTCCCCTCAAGTCTAGCTACAGTATAGCTACAGTCTGCTACAGTCTGCTACAGTCCCCTCAAGTCTAGCTACAGTCTGCTACAGTCTGCTACAGTCCCCTCAAGTCTAGCTACAGTATAGCTACAGTCTGCTACACTCTGCTACAGTACCCTCAAGTCTAGCTACAGTATAGCCATAGTCTGCTACAGTATACAAGCTAAATGTTTTGCCTAAATGTCTTACAAGCTACAGTCTAGCCAGTTTGAAGAAGCAAGCCAATTATAGCCATATTATATACTATGTTTAACTCCAATAAATGACAATCCGATGATCAATTCAAAGTTGTAATAAAGGAAAGAAATTAATGGCAAAGAATTTGGAATCGAGGGAATTGAATCCTTGACCTTTTGCTTCTGCTTCTGCATCTGCTTCTTCTTCAGCTTCAGCTTCTGCCTCTGCATCAGCTTCAGCTTCTCCTACCACTGAGCCATCGGTGCCTTCTTTGCCCAAGAAGAAATAGAAAGACAAGGAAGAAGAAAGGAAGAGTGGGAAATAGGTTGAATTGAACCGTTGACCCTCTGCTTACCGGGCAAAGGCTCTACCACTAAACTATTGACGCCATCTTTCCCCAAGAAGAAATAGGAAGAAAGGAAGAAAGGAAGAAAGTTTATAAGCAAAGCAGTCAATACGCAAGTAGAACAGGATAATGATGAAGTTTAATCAGTAAAGCCTTGATCATACGAAAGAATAACTAAAATAGAACATTTTAAGTTTTTAATAGTTTTAAATCTAAGCACAAGTTCTGATGAATCCATGTTCTGATGGTTCTTTTGTTCAAATATCATTTGGTCCTTGATTTTTCTCGTTTATCTGAAAAGTTAACAGATCGAATAAGAGGAAAATAGCTGAGGTGACCTTTTTGATTGGGAAAAGATTGTCAAGGAAAAACATATGATATGAATGGAATGGAGAACATGAATGGAATGGAGAACAGAGACAAATAAAAGAGTTCAGAGAAAAGATAGAAAGAAGGAAAGAATGTTCACTGAAATGATTGACATTCAATTAGTTTCCGTTCAAATAAACAACAAGATTTGATTGAGCAAAAAGAATGTAGGGAAATAGAATTCAATGTAAATATCAGATGTTTTGATCGGCGAAGCGATCGGCGAATGTTGCAAAGATCCGTTTGATGGACTGAAACCAGGACTTGTCCTTTTAATGCTACGTGGGCATCGGATCCCTTTGATATATGCAAAGCTAACAGACACTTATTTTAACAACCAACAATTGTAGTTGTAAGTTGATACAAGTTGACAGCATTTTCTCAAGATATTTGGCAATATCTCACTTAACTTATTCTAATTCTAAATAACTTATTCTATGCTCTAATTACAGTACACTGTCTACAATGCTCTAGTTACAGTACACTGGCTACAATGCTCTAATTCTATGCTCTAATTACTGTACACTAGCTACAATGCTCTAGTTACAGTACACTGGCTACAATGCTCTAATTACAGTACACTGGCTACAATGCTCTAATTACAGTACACTGGCTACAATGCTCTAATTCTATGCTCTAATTACAGTACACTGGCAACAATTGTAGTTGTAAGTTGATAGTACGGTACAATGGTTTGGCATTGTCTAAAATTGATTCAAAAGAAAAGTGATAAGCTTTTTAAATTATTAAAATAAAAATCCAGTGGGTGACCTAATTGCGGTAAAAATTGATTGTCAATTGATTGTCAATTGATTGCACAAATTTAACACTAAGCTGTTGCTATGTTTTGTGGTAAACTTGGTACCGGACTTGGTACCAAGTAAACGGTAAACTTGGTAAACTTGAACGATGAGTAGAAACTTCTTTATTGAATGCCGGATGAATGGGTGCAAAAGGTACAACCATTCGGTGGACGAGAACAAGAAACGATCACTGAATTCAAGTTCAACCACAGTTATTAGAACAGATTTGAGTGTAAGCTCGCGTTTTATTCGCTCATTTTTAATAGGGCTCAATCCGCTGACCATTAGAACGAATGGGCATCAAAAAATAGAATTTATTTCCCGGTTTGAGGCTTGAGCTTGTTCTTTGGTGTAAAAGTTGTGCTCAAAAATCGAAACACACCCTTTCTGGCACCTTCAATTTAGCACTAAGCTGTTGCTATGAGGAAAAGAAAAGAAAAGATTAAATGATATGTCGAGTCGATATTGTCGACCCATGTGGAATGTTCAAAACCGGCCTAATTTTATCTAACGGTAACAAATCCCCATGTTTCATTGAAATCCGGATCATAATTACCGGGAGATTTGGTTCTGGCATGCTTTTTTTGAGTCATAATTATCGTTGAACTGGATTTACAATAACTGTGCAACTCATTGTAAACATAAAGTCAAAGTTGAACTTTATTTTCATAAGTTTTGTTTGAGTGAAATTAATCGATTTATTTTCTATCGGTAAAAGATTACAACAAATTACAGGGAAGCAGGCGCTCAACAAGAAAGACAGAGTCGAAAAACTTTAAATACCAATCGACAAAACTTCAGATCGATAAATGCGCGATTAAACCAAGAATGAGATCACAAAGCTACAAACAGGATGATTTTAAGGTCTAGCGGCGTTTCTTCTCGTCAAAGATTCGAGCGAAAGTGTTTTGCTGCTCCATATCCAGGCCATCAAACCACTAAAATAGTACATTATATTTGAAAGTTGAAAAGGAATAGCAAAACTTGTTAGGACAAAATCAAAATGTCCTTACCTATTTGAAGATATCTTGCGATTGATCACCGAGATCCTGGGTTTTCGTGGTCGAAGTAGTTGTCACCGTTTCAGCGAAAGACGTTGATGCTGCTGGTGATGGAATCTAAACAGTGAAAAAGTTAATTACTAAGTAGTTTTACGTTAAATAACACTTGCAATAAAAAATTTACAGCCAAATAGCGGAGAACTGGAGTCTTGAGGCTGGCACTGCGACGTTTCGGTGTTGTTTGTACGCGATGACAAGGAGCCGAATCCGTGTTCCACACACAAACATTCATCTACATAACAGAGTTCGTAAATATGTTGAATATTTTCAAGCTTTATCCACCTCATAAGCACTCGAGCAGGGCGATCGCTCAATGTCATCACCAATATTGGAGTAGCCGGCCGATCGAGTGGTGTCTGAGAAGATGCAAGGCTCGCAATTGTCCATTCGTTGGCGGGTCGACATGTACTGACCATCGTATGTAGAGATGATCGACGGAGCGCTTAAAGACGTTGCGGCGGGTGCAAGTTCTAAACATATGTGCTTAACACAATAATCAAAACTAAATAAACCGTTTTGTTTGAGACCCGGAATTCCTAGTTGGCGGGCCACCATCGCCAAACTAAATGATAAAAGTAAAGATTCAGAAAAAATTTAAGATTACCGTCGCAAAGTAGCTTCGCAAATACGGAGCTGCGCATCAATGGCATCTTTTTCTGCCTCGAGTGCAGCAAGTTCCTAAAAGTAACCTTTTAGACATGGGTTAAATTGAAAGTTTATTTTAAGTTAGCTAAATAAATTTATGGATATTATGCTTATCGAGCTAAATGCTTATTGAGATAAATAAACTTGCCTTAAACAAATCCCGCTTTTTCAGCATTGCTTTTTCGCATTTCTCGACAACCTTCTCGACTTCTTCACCAAGCAATTGACGCGAGTTGATTACATCACGGCAGATTTTCTGGAAGTAGATCTCTTCGTCGGCTAGTTCCTAAATAGATGAATGAGTAATTACAACACTAACTAAACGAAAAAACACGAAAACATTAACTGAAGAAACCACTTTCAGAGAATCTTATTTCACATTAAAATCTCACTCGAATTGCAGTCGTTTCATTGTGAATAGTGCGTAGCAGAAGTTCATGCACCATCAAACGCAAAATCTCGACATTCTGACGCACTTTCTCTTGTGAAATCGCTTCAAATCCCTAAATAAATAAATTACATAATCGTAAAAACTTAGCAACGGCTACTCTTGAATTATTTTTTCGCCAATAACTACTTTATTCCATGTACTAAACACTAAACAAACATGTACTTCTATAGCTATCAAAGAACTCTAACATTCATAATTACTGCAGGTCGAACTAGTATGTTTACTCAAAGCTTCCAAGAGCTAGTAAAGTTTTCTAATCACGATAAATTGTACCATAACGGGCTCCATCTTGCGAAGAATGTCGGTGGGCAATTTTCGGCTGTGCTTTTCTTCGATTCCCTTTAGAGAAGTCAAATCGGCTTGCAAATTTTCGGCTCTAAACTCAACAGTTCTTAAGAAGCTGAAAGAAATGCCCACATTTGATTGAGTCGTTGAATCTCGGTCGCCTTCTCATCATTGTTTCGTCTAAATAAAAACTATAGTAAAAAATAAACCGCAAGGCATCTCTTTAAAAACGTTTATTTTAAAAAAGTTTGGCTATAAACGATTCAAACACTGCTAGGTAACACTAGTATGTCTTACTAGTGTTATCTAGCAGTGTTTGACTTACTTATAGTACTTATAAAACTTATTACTTATAGTACTTATTACTTATAGTTGTAGTACTTATAAAAAAAAGTAGTCAAAGTGAGTACCTAACAGGCAAAAATAACCACTTAAACCTTAGCCGCAAATACAAATTTGGCAAAGGATCCTTACTTTAACTCCTGAAGTTGATCACTCAACGTGTTGAGGCGGTGCTTTAAGTGTCGAAGCTCGCCCACCGTCTTTTGCACTTCTTCTGAAAAAAAAACAAAGTATATAGGTCAATAAAACAATGCAAAACAATGCATAAGGAAAACAAAGGGAAAATATGGAGTATACGGGTGTATTTCATACATATTAAAATATGGAGTATTTCTAGAATAGCATTTTTGACTTATTTAGCTAAGACGCACCCCAAGGATGCTAGAAAAACAAAAAAAAAATAAGTGTCGCTCAGCCATTTTCAGGAAAATTTCAAGCAATGTAAGCATTATCTATTATTTGGCCCAATTTTTGCATTTTTGTTTCTTCTTGTTTTCTAAAAGTCATCCTCTTTTGGATAAACTACCGTAACACCAAAATTAACTCCGTTGTTTCATTTTTTCATTTCGTTAATTGAATAAACAAATTTTTATGTACAGTACCGAGCAAAAGTCTTGCAACATCACTTTTTCAAAAAAATCGATGAAATTTTTTTATAGAAAATGCCACCCGTTCGTAGGGCTTTTTGTTTTTAATTAGAATAATATATGTACACTTTATTTACAAAAACAAATTTAAAGTTCAGCGTAAAGCAAAAAAGTAAATGACAAAACTACTAAAAAATACCCTAAAAACTGGGTGCAAAAGTCTTGCAACATTTTACAGAAACATCAAAAATTAATATTCAATCGGTCCACCTTTTGCCAAAATCACTTCATTAAGTCGTTTAGGCATTGAGTCGACTAATTCGTGAAGAATTGCTGGGCGAATTGAGCTCCAAACTTTTCGTATGTAGAACCATAAGTCAACTTTTGTGTGAAAGTCTTTTCCTCGTAACTTTGCCTTCACGTAAGCCCATAAATTCTCAATAATGTTTAAATCAGGCGACATAGGGGGCACTTTGACTAACAAAACATTATTAAGGGCAAACCATCCAGGGAGATGAGCTTTTCCTCCATTTGAGAGATTCACGGTGCGACCCATCATGAGCTTGCTCTTGTGGACCGGCGAGTTGTCCTGGTAGAGAAACCATTCAGGAGCCATGTGATCCTGAGCAAATGGAAGTAGACATCCTTCTAGTATTTCCATATACTGGCGAGCATTCATGGTTGACTGGACGAGGACGAGCGGACCTGCCACATTTTTTTGTCATCGCCCCTAGAAAAAGACAAATTAATGCATGTATTAGAAATAAGGCTTACCAAAACACATGATTGATCCTCCGCCAGCTCGCATTGTAGGTCGCACATATTTAAGGAGTATTCGCTTTCCAATGGGTCGTCTGATCAAGTGGTTGCCTTTTGGAGAAAAGATATCCACTTTTGTTTCATCGACAAAAATCACGTTGGCCCAATCCTGCTTTGTCCAACTTTGGTACGTCCTGGCGAATAGAAGCCGTTGTTTCCTATGGCCAGCGGTCATCAAAGGCTTTCGTACAGACCGCCGGCTATACAGTCCTGCTTGAGTCAATCGTCGAGAAACGGTCCATCGAGAGATATCCTTGTTTGCAACATCCTTGATCAGCCGAGCTCCCTCAGTTGATGTCATGTTCGGATCCTTCTTGGAAGCCATCACAAGTATTCGATCCTCTTTTGCTGTTGTTCTTCTTGGCCATCCTTTCTTCTCTCTTCGGTGCATAAGTCCAGTTGTTTTTGCTTTTGAAACAATGCGAGAAACGGTCGAAGGATCGCATTTGAAGAGATCGGAGACAACGGCTCGAGAAATTCCTTTTTTCCTTGCTTTCATGATTTTTTCTCTTTAGGGAGTCGTCAAGTAGGTACCTGGCATCTGAAAAAAACAAAAATTAGTGTAAATTAATAAATTTGAAAACAATAAAAATGAGAAACATAGAATGTTGCAAGACTTTTGCACCCAGTTTTTAGGGTATTTTTTAGTAGTTTTGTCATTTACTTTTTTGTTTTACGCTGAACTTCAAATTTGTTTTTGTAAATAAAGTGTGCATGTATTGTTCTAATTAAAAACAAAAAAGCCCCACGAACGGGTGGCATTTTCTATAAAAAAATTTCATCGATTTTTTTGAAAAAGTGATGTTGCAAGACTTTTGCTCGGTACTGTACTATTTTACTTGAGAGTGCACGAGAAAATAAAGCCTTTATGGAAAACTCCAAAAGAGCATTGGTTAATCTACATTAAAATCTTTAAATTTGGCGCTGTTTTGAACGGCGCGATTTTTGTATGGGCGCTGTTTTGAACGGCGCGATTTTTGTATGGGCGCTGTTTTGAACGGCGCGATTTTTGTATGGGCGCTGTTTTGAACGGCGCGATTTTTGTATGGGCGCTGTTTTGAACGGCGCGATTTTTGTATGGGCGCTGTTTTGAACGACGCTGTTTTGAATGGCGCTGTTTTGAACGGCGCTGTATTGGCGGCGCTATTTTGACTAGGTCCCGAAATTCCATTCCTCTCCTATTTTTGTATTTCAAATTCAGTCTTCCTTATTCCCGCTTTTGTCTTATGTTCACGCTTGAAATTGGATCGCACTATTGAGTTTTTCCGTATGGTAAGGTGTCTATATAATCCAAAAAAATCTTTGGAGAGTGTTGATGGTGAAATCACCGATGTTGAAGATGATGCTAGTGTTTATGATTTTGTTCTGTTGAGCTACAATTGCCTTTTCCTGTTTCTTTTTGTTAAATATACTAATATTGAAATGATACTTTTGATTGTTAAATTGACGTTCATGTTTCAGATCAACTCAACAAGCCACACAACTCTGGTCGTTCTGTTCAAACTGAAGAATGTTTGAAATTTTCCCAGAATTGGCTAAGCGAAACTTATTTTTTGTTTTTCAAAAGCAAAAGAGGAGCAAGGAGTAGAAGAGGAGCAAGGAGCAGAAGAGGAGCAAAGAGTAGAAGAGGAGCAAGGAGCAGAAGAGGAGCAAGGAGTAGAAAAGGTGCAAGGAGCAGAAGAGGAGCAAGGAGCAGAAGAGGAGCAAGGAGCAGAAGAGGAGCAAGGAGTAGAAAAGGAGCAAGGAGTAGAAAAGGAGCAAGGAGCAGAAGAGGAGCAAGGAGCAGAAGCTTTTTTTTTCGCCAAATGAGCTGATTTATCGCACCCAGGGGTTTTTGACTATGCTAAATCGATTGGTGATGGTTGCACACAAGATTTCGCAACTTTTAACAACATTCAAGACTACTTGCAGATGAAACTAGCGTCATTGGAAAAACGAGTTTCGATCTGTCAGAAAAGTTCTATAAAAGACACAAGAAACAAACGAATGCGCGTTTCTTGTTTGACCCCACTTAACGTTGTTTGCTTTCGGAATGGTCGCTATCGCTTCTAGGCTGAATTTGCGCAGGCTGAATTCAATTTAATCGATTCAGCATACTCAAAAGCCCCTAGCTGCAAAAAATTAGCTCATTTGGTGAAAAAAAAATTGTCCCTACCCAACCACTATAGCATCCACGGGACTTACTAGCATCTAGGCAAAAAAGTAAACACTTTTTTCAAAATAAACACCAAAACGAATAAAATTCGACTTTAAACACTTACCGCTGACGGGTCGACCACCTTCCATCAACGTGGAGTTGTGAAAAGAAAAATTATTTTACTCGTTTCGGATCATCAAATAAGTTAAATGTAAATTTTGCGCTTTAAAATACAAATTTTGTGTTTCATGATGCAAATTTATGATTCGACTTTTTAGAAAGCTATCCATGGCATCGAAAGTACAAGAATGTGTTGATCGATGGCTGTATGTTGGAAGAATTTGAAGAGAGAAGGGGAGAAGAAGAAATTGAAAAAGAATTTGAATTTGACTTCTCACTTCAAAGTGAGAAGTCAACTTCAAAGTTTAATAACTCAAGAATAACTCTAGAGGCGAAAGTGGAGGTTAGGGATGCGAGCAGTAATGGTTAAGCAATAGACCAACGTTACTTTTATACTAGGCAATATACAGTACTGGACAATGAAATATCATATTTGAAAAACGATCGTCATTTTCGCGCGTCTGTAACTCCCTTGTATTTGATTTTAAACTATTAGTGTTATACATTTTCTGAAAGCTCTTTTCAAGGGCTACACAATGATAATATTCTTATTTAGAAATACGGCAAAGACAAGGGAGTTACAGACGCGCGAAAGTGACGATCTTTTTTCAAATATGATATTTCATTTTCCAGTAGTGTATCTAAAAAGATGCTATTCTTGTAAGCTTGCTATGCCCTTGATTGTGACAGTTTAGCTCTCTAACACAGATAGTTAGATTCAATTGTACTAGAGCATAAGAGTTAACAAAGCCTCGATTATCAATTATCAATGTTGAAAGCTCGGTTTCACAAAGACTCGTGCAGATTTCCATAGACAAGTCTAACGCCAGCTAACCTCTCGCATATCTTTTGTTTTTTTGGATTTTAATGATAGCTGTTTGATGTTAATAGTTAAAAGTAAACATTTTTATGAAAAATAGTTTAATATAAACTTGTATTTGAAAAAGAAAACAATTAACTTTGCAAATCCAAAAAAGCAAAAGAAAAAGTAGGATGGCGGACTCGAACTAGAGGGTCTCTGCTTCGTATTCTATCCCACTGCCACTCGGCCACCACTTTTCCAAAAAACTTCTGGGAAATCTGCGGATAAACACGGAGTGATTTTTGATTTCCCATACAAAACTTTGCATGCTTATAACTTTTGACAGAGTGCTCCATAGCAGAAACGGAAAGCAGCTTCGGAATCGGCGTTGAATTCTGCGTCGACCGATCTATGGCTTATTTCATTTAGCCATCACATCCAGTTGAAATTCCCTTACAAGTTTTCACAATTGAACAAGAGCTGGGCAAACAGAAAGCTTCCAATTCCATCTTGTGTTATACAATTTATCTAGAATCGATTATAGTCTCTAGTTGAGTATTCAGGACAAGATTATTTACAACACATGGCATCAATGACATTTTAAAAAGTTTTTGTCTTTAAGTAGCACGTTATTTTGCACGAGTTTTGGCTAATTTGGTGGCAGGAATTCAGTTCCTTTATAGTTCCTATTTGGTCTATTTGGTCATTATAGTTCCTTTATATTAGGTGTGTGAAAAAGTAATCCACGTTTTTAACGTTTAAATATAAAAGACCATAAGTTTCGTTAAAATAATTTTTATTCAACGAAGTAATCACCATTCGAAAGAACAACCTTTTGCCAACGTTCTACAAGTAAAGACATTCCACGATAATAAAAATCTTGGTCCTTAGAGGCGAAGAAAAGATCAACCTCGGCTTTGACATCTTCTTCGGAATTGAACCGTTTATTGGCCAGAGACAGAGACAGTTAGACAGCCAAAAAGTTAGACAGAGACAAAAATAAATAATAATCAGATGGAGAAAGGTCTGGACTATAAGGTGGATGTGGTAAAACCTTCCATCCAACACTCTGGATTTGTAAAGAGACATGTGGTCGCGCGTTATCATTCATGCGGTATCCATTTGTCCAACTTTTTGATAAAATTCATGGCATTCAAGCGTTTCCTTACGGTTCACCCATCACAATTTAATGTAAGGCCTATTTCTGAAGAGGTTGAACGAGGGTTTTCGAGAAGACAGCGTCTTATTTGGTCATCAGATAAAAATAAAAAACGTGGATTACTTTTTCACACACCTAATAGTTCCTATTTGGTCCTAAGAAAGACAATTCACAAGGTGAGTACAAGAGTACAAACTAAAAAATGAGAGCCCGTCATCAAAGAGATCAATCATGAGAAGAAAGAATGGGACCGAAGATTGCGTTATTCATTTGTCTGCTTGCTCCTGGCGTTGAGGTTGACGAGGCTGGTATCCACGGTTTGGTTGAGATCCGTAGCCACCATATCCACCACCGCGACCGCCGCCATATCCAGAGTTGTAGCCACCATAGCCCTGTCCTCCATTGAAACGACCTCCTCGCATTCCACGAATCTCCATTTGATTTGTCGATTTTCAGCTTTAATCATTACGTTTTGGCAGATGATTTTGCGTTTTGCCCAAATTCTCATTTCCATATTTATTTCCTCAAAACAATAAAACTTTTACATAACCCGAAAGCTTTAGTAACAAAAAAAAGGCAAAAAAAGACAAAATTAAACAAAAAAACTGCGGAATGCAAAAAATCACCGAAGAAAAGAGAGAAATTTGTACAAAAAAAAAACAAAAATATTTACAAACAGAGATTAAGAATTGATAAATTGTCTATTTTCTAAATTCTAATTAATCCTTTCATTTCTTTATTCTCGTTTTGATGATTCGACAGTGATTCCGAGCTAAATTTGAAGAAATCAAGCGCCAGATCTATTCTTGTGCTTGTTGTTCTTGTTTTACTTTCTTGCTCATCGTAAACACACTTCTTCTAGTGTACTCATTTTTTTCTGGATATCACAGAGACTTTCTAGAAGATTGGATGATGAAAAAGTTGAATTCGAAAAATTCGGATTTGGTAAGTTTTAGGACTGGATGATTTTACAATAGCCCGTAGCTCAAAAAATGTTCTAGATTTTTTTAAATGTAAATCCTGGATATCACAGAGACTTTCTAGAAGATTGGATATTGAAAAAGTTCCATTCGAAAAATTCAGATATGCTAAATTAAGTTTCATTGTGAGTTCTTTCTACAAAATGAAGAATGAATTGTGCCAGGAAGGGTGGATTTCTATTTGATGCACAAAACAAGTCAATTAGTCGTGTGCGCAAGCGTAAACGCATCCTTTCTGGCACACTCGTTTCTTCATTTTTCTCAATTTAACCACTTGCTGTTGCGTAAAAAGTTAAAAATAAGTTTAAAGTTTAAAAATAAGTGCACTAGATTTTTGTTTTTATTTTAAAGAACTCAAGTTTTAATCTCGCTATTTATGCTAACTTCTACTCTTTACAGTAATCAAAGAAATGTTAAATAGTTGGCTAGATGGAGATTGATAGATCTATGGATAGAGATCGAAAGCCTACAGCCTACCGAAAGCCTACAGCCTACCGAAAGCCTACAGCCTACCGAAAGCCTACAGCCTACCGAAAGCCTACAGCTTACCGAAAGCCTACAGCTTACCGAAAGCCTACAGCTTACCGAAAGCCTACAGCTTACCGAAAGCCTACAGCTTACCGAAAGCCTACAGCTTACCGAAAGCCTACAGCTTACCGAAAGCCTACAGCTTACCGAAAGCCTACAGCTTACCGAAAGCCTACAGCTTACCGAAAGCCTACAGCTTACCGAAAGCCTACAGCTTACCGAAAGCCTACAGCCTACCGAAATCCTACAGCCTACCGAAATCCTACAGCCTACCGAAAGCCTACAGCCTACCGAAAGCCTACAGCCTACCGAAAGCCTACAGCCTACCGAAATCCTACAGCCTACCGAAAGCCTACAGCCTACCGAAAGCCTACAGCCTACCGAAAGCCTACAGCCTACCGAAAGCCTACAGCCTACCGAAAGCCTACAGCCTACCGAAAGCCTACAGCCTACCGAAAGCCTACAGCCTACCGAAAGCCTACAGCCTACCGAAAGCCTACAACTTACAGTTTACAGCTTACAGCTTACAGTTTACAGAAAGCCTACAGCTTACAGAAAGCCTACAGCTTACAGAATGCTTACAGCTTACCGAAAGCCTACAGTTTACAGCTTACAGAAAGCTTACAGCTTACAGTTTACAGTTTACAGCTTACAGAATGCTTACAGCAGCTCACAAAAAGCCTACAGCTCACAAAAAGCTTACATTTTGATTGATCTCATCGAATTTCTTTTGCATAATTTCATGACAATGATCCGAAAGGGCATCAATCTGAAATAGGAAATCAATTTCACCAATTTAAATTTGAGGAAAACAAATCTAACAAGCTCTTTTTTTTAAAAATTTACCTTGTACTATTTATATGATAAACTCACTGATTCAAATTTGGTGGAATCAATTGCCGGCAAAATCTCTGCTAAAATTCTGCCCGAATCATCGAAACGTTTCTCTTCCTAAAGTCTTTTTTCAATAAAGAAATTCATTTTCATTTTCTTTTACCCAATCATAGAATTGTTTATGTGATGAGAAAACACAACAAACGACCGGGATCTGAATGGGAAATGTTGAGAATTGGATTGATTGATTGGATTGATTGATTGGATTGATTGATTGGATTGATTGATTGGATTGATTGATTGGATTGATTGATTGGATTGATTGATTGGATTGATTGATTGGATTGATTGATTGAATTGATTCATTGAATTGATTCATTGAATTGATTGATTGAATTGATTGATTGAATTGATTGATTGAATTGATTCATTGAATTGATTCATTGAATTGATTGATTGAATTGATTGATTGAATTGATTGATTGAATTGATTCATTGAATTGATTCATTGAATTGATTCATTGAATTGATTCATTGAATTGATTCATTGAATTGATTGATTGAATTGATTCATTGAATTGATTCATTGAATTGATTCATTGAATTGATTCATTGAATTGATTGAAAGAAACTTGTTTACATGAAAAAAAACTGTATTTTGGATAAGTTTCTTTAAAATAAATAGGAAAATATTAGTTTCACGGGTATGAATTTTCATTTTTTAATATGATTCAATCTTTAAGATGATTCAATCAATCAATTTATGATTTGTTTTATCAGAAATTTCAATTATTTATTTACAAAAGATCGATATTGATCAGCTAATTATTCATTTAGAAAGGAAACAAGATTTTCTGGGCTAAACAAGGCTAAACCAATAGTAAGCTCTAGCTCTTACTAATCTTACTATAGCAGCTAGCTAGAGATAGCTCTAGATGATCTTACTATAGCATCTAGCTAGAGCTAGCTATTACTAATCTTACTATAGCACCTAGCTGATATAGTAAGATTACAGCATTTTTAATGCTCAAAACTTCACTTTCATCATACCTTTGATTGGTGTGCAAGAATGAAGGCTCCTTTCTTGAATGATAATAATTTCGAGCCGGGATTTCGCGTGCCTTCAGGGAAGACCCAAACTTTTCTCTGAATACTTGCATATAACCCTTGTACTGATCTGGACCGGATACGGAACTTGACCGGATACGGAACTTGACCGGATACGGAACTTGACCGGATACGGAACTTGACCGGATACGGAACTTGACCGGATACGGAATTTGACCGGATACGGAATTTGACCGGATACGGAATTTGACCGGATACGGAATTTGACCGGATACGGAATTTACAATTTACAATACTTCAAAAACTGTCTGTTTTTGAAGTATTGTAGTTTATAGTAGACGAATGACTTGCTCGTTTAAAACGTTTTGGCTTAATTCACTTTTTAGAACTGCATTCCGTTTCCCGTATTTTCTCTAATAGTAGTGCATCATGAGCGTCGCCTAAATTGCTCGAAATCTCGAGAACCGCTTATCAGAATCTATCGATGTGGGGTCGGAAAATGTAGCTCACGATGAGATCTAGTGGGGGATTTGAGTGTTGAGCTTCTGTGAAAACTTTGGATGTCGTAAAATGGCCATTAACTCGGCTAGCCGGCCGGGGTGCAGAGAAAATACGGTATGCTACTTTCTTCATTACTCTTCCTTCATTACTCTTCCTTCATTACTCTTCCTTCATTACTCTTCCTTCATTACTCTTCCTTCATTACTCTTCCTTCATTACTCTTTCCTCATTACTCTTTCTTCATTACTCTTCCTTCATTACTCTTCCTTCATTACCATTTCTTCATTACTCTTCCTTCATTACTCTTCCTTCATTACTCTTCCTTCATTACTCTTTCCTCATTACTCTTCCTTCATTACTCTTCCTTCATTACTCTTTCCTCATTACTCTTTCTTCATTACTCTTCCTTCATTACTCTTCCTTCATTACTCTTTCCTCATTACTCTTCCTTCATTACTCTTCCTTCATTACTCTTTCCTCATTACTCTTCCTTCATTACTCTTCCTTCATTACCATTTCTTCATTACCATTTCTTCATTACTATTCCTTCTAACAAGATCCAGGTCTTCTATTTTTCAATCCCACAAAATCGACCGGTCAAAAAAAGTAGATAAGCGTCCGCCAAATAAATGAAAAATTTATTTTTTGTTAAAAACTATTTTAAACGATAGCCTTTAGCTTAAAACGTACAATAAACATGTTTAAAAGTAAAAATTTTCTTTTATTTTCTTTTATTTTCTTTCCCTCAGACAATCTCCCAAAAAAATGGACGTGGTCCCCCCTTACAATTTTTTTCAAAACATTTTTTTCCCTTTCCTTTTTACAAAAAATAGCTTTCCTACGTTTTTAATTCTATTGCCAAAGCTAAACTACTTCTATCTAGACTCTTCTCTACAACTTTAGCTAAAAAAAAACGTTTCAAAAAGTTGAAATTTCATCTAAAACTTTCATCTAGAAGATCTCGAATCGAAATTCATCTCCTTTGTTTACAAGCTTTTCCTTTCCATTATTTACTCGATTCTTTTATTGAGTTTAGTTTTGTTTTTCTCAAGAGAGTGAGCCAAATTTTTCAAATTCCCTCATAATTAGCTTATTTTTGGGGATTTTGTTGAAAAATTCCAAAAGAACTAATTTCCGTTTGAGAAATTCAAATGATTAAAAATAACCTTATGTTCCTTGATTGCCACTGAGGTCGCATCAACGGTGTTTTTTGATTTCTCCTGAAAATAGAATACAAAGATTGAATCGAAATCGAAATAAACACTTTATAGCATACTCAGATGTTAATAAAGTGAAGAGATAAATGGCAAAGAATTTGGAAACAAGGGAATTGAATCCTTGACCTGCTGCTTCAGCTTCTTCTTCTGCTTAAGCTTAAGCTTCAACTTCAGCTTCTTCTTCTGCTTTTGCTTCAGCCTCAGCTACAGCTACAGCTTCTGCTTCAGCTTCTTCTTCTTTGGCTTCAGCTTCTTCTTCCTTTGCTTCGGCTTCTGCTTCTTCAGCTTCAACTTCAACTTCAGCTTCTTCTTCAACTTCAGCCTCTGCTTCAGCTTCAGCTACAGCTTCAGCTTCTGCTTCAGCTTCAGCTTCTGCTTCAGCTTCAGCTACAGCTTCTGCTTCAGCTTCAGCTACAGCTTCAGCTTCTTCTTCAGCTTCAGCTACAGCCACAGCTTCAGCTTCTTCTTCAGCTTCTTCTTCTACTTCTTCTTCTTCTTCTTCTGCTTCTTCTTCTTCTTCTTCAGCTTCTTCTTCAGCTTCTTCTTCTACTTCTTCTTCTTCTTCTTCTTCTGCTTCTTCTTCTGCTTCTTCTTCTACTTCCGCTTCTCCTACCACAGATTCATCAGTGCCTTCTTTGCCCAAGAAATAAGAAAGACAAGGAAGAGAAAGAAAGGAAGAGAATGACAAGGAAGAGAATGACAAGGAAGAGAGGGAAATAGGTTGAGTGTGCTAGGAAGTGTGGGTTTTCAAGCTTTCAGCACAAAGTACACCAAGTCAATTAGGATTCGAAAGTTGCGGAATTTACTTTGTTGAATCGATTTATGTAGATAGAATGACACAGCCAGGCGCACAAGTTGAACCCAGGCAACCATTTGAGTGAGGATTTTAGAATGACCACACAATTCTCCGGCCACGCATAGGACATTGCTGAAAAGTGGTGCTTCTAGATTCTATTCAATTTATGCTATCAATTTTTGAGCAATAACACTTGAGAATTTGCGATATTTTCCTAAAAATGAGGTTTTTCATTTGTTCTTTCTTATTCTATTAGTCTTTTTTATTCTATTATCTATTCTATTATCATTATTTTATTATATTATTATTATTTTATTATATTATTATTATTTTATTATATTATTATTATTCTACTCTATTATATTCATTTCTTCGAACCCTTAGAAACGTTTTTCAAAAGATTTTTAAGAACAAGCACTTATTTCGGCCTTTCTGCATTTCTCCAATGACTCATTAGTGAAAGATTTCTTTTTTTCGTCAAATCCTTTCAGACTACATGATTTGTTTTCAATTTCTCGCATCTTTTCTTTTGATTTGTACTTCTCTCATCAAAAACTCTCTGTTGAAAGATGAAGTGTGAGAAAGGCTTTTTTTTTACACAAAAACCACTTCAAAATGCTAAATGTCAAACTCCAAAATTCGGCTTTATTTTCCTTTTTCCTTTTCTCTGAACTCTTTAAATTGTAGTTGTTAGAAATATAATGAAGATACAAAGCTCAAAAACTCAAAACTCATAAATAAAAGCTTTTAATAAAATGGCTTAGGAGGTTTTGATGAAAGTTTATGATTAGCATGTCTATGATTAACAAGTCTATGATTAACAAGGCTATGATTGACAAGTCTATGATTCATAAGGCTATGATTAACAAGGCTATGATTAACAAGTCTAATGATTAACAAGTCTAATCATTAACAAATCTATGATTAACAAGGCTATGATTAACAAGTCTATGATTAACAAGGCTATGATTAACAAGGCTATGATTAACAAGGCTATGATTGACAAGTCTATGTTTAACAAGTCTATGTTTAACAAGTCTATGATTGACAAGGCTATGATTAACAAGTCCAATGATTAACAAGTCTAATCATTAACAAGGCTATGATTAACAAATCTATGATTAACAAGGCTATGATTAACAAGTCTAATGATTGACAAGGCTATGATTAACAAGGCTATGATTTTGATGAATTATACAATGCGTTTCACATCAATACGTTCACCCAAGAAAGTCGCAATATCAATCTCAATATCACCATATCAATACCGCAATATCAATACCGCAATATCGTCCAACCCTTGACCATTCGTGCTTGAGCAAAAGCTAAGCTGCCATCCTTGTGCTCTTGTTTCAATGCGGGTTGCTTCTACAACTTGTTTTCAACGATTTGTGGGATCGTTTGAAGAGGTCGCCAGATAGTTGACTTGGAAACACAATGCATCAGCTCCTCCATGACATCATTGATCGACTTCCCGTGAATCGTATTGGCGATATGCCGAACATCTCGATCGTTCAGCTTCTTCTTGTAGTTTTCTTTTTCTTTGTGCCATATGCAGCAGGATCCTTCAAACAATTTTTCACAACAGAAAGTGTTTTCTTGATTTGTTTGACGATCGAGCTCTTGATTTGCTTGGCGATCGAGCTCTTGATTTGCTTGGCGATCGAGTTCTTGATTCGCTTGGCGATCGAGCTCTTGATTTGCTTGAGGATTGAGCTCTTGATTCGCTTGGCGATCGAGCTCTTGATTTGCTTGGTGATCGAGCTCTTGATTTGCTTGGCGATCAAGTTCTTGATTTACTTGGCGATCGAGCTCTTGATTTACTTGGCGGTTTAACTCTCTCTGACCATGATGCTTGGCGATTTGGCTTTTTTCGTAATTAGAAAGCTTGGTTCCTCTTGCCATTTTCTAAAAATTATAAAATAATTGTAGTAACAAAAAATAAGATACAAAAAGATTTATAAAAATGAAAGTGAACTTATTGATGTGAAACAGTGAAAAATCGTTTTTTAAAACTATGAAAATGTCTGTCTAAATGTGCAAAAATGTTAAGTAATTTGTTGAATTGAATCTAGAATTTTTTGATGCGCTCTTTTCAACCAAAAAAAGAATTCGAAACAATAGCATGTGGCAATTTAAGATATTGGGACATATTAAGAGCACAAGGATCGCCGCTTATAGAGTGTGCTCCTTGTTGACAGACAAGGAGCACACTCCTTGTCTGTCAACAAATTTGCCTTGGCAACTTTTTTGTCAGACAATTGATCCGACAAACTTTCGACAACGCGTTTTCTAAAAGGTGCGCTTTTTAAGCAAAGCTATAAAGGCCGCGCAAAGCAAAGCTATAAAAGAAATGTGCAAAATTTTCTCAAAATGTAGTAATGGATAGTTTTATTTAAGGATTTAGGTTTCTTTTGGAATTTGTTTTTGAATAGTTCTAGTGCAAATGTAGACAATAGGCCTGGTAAATTTAAAAAAAAAAAAATACCGACTGGGGCTACCAGTGGTGAATTTATCGCATACACGAAATATATCAATCACAATACAACGACACACACAATACTAGGCTATATCTTAACTTAACCCACGTCATGACAGACGGCTCCCTAACCCTAAGCTCAATGGGGAACTAAATAGCTTTTTTGGTGGTGAAGGGAAGATGACGATGAAGGAGTGGCTTGTCACTTTAAAGAACTGGGGCCACAACCACCAGACTGCCCTCCAGAAAACCTCTCAACCCGAAGGGAAAGGAAATCCGAAGGGGGTGACCATGTCGCATGTGGGGTTCGAACCCTCGACCTTCCGATTAAGATAAAAGACACTTAACCAGTCAGCCACACGTGCTTTTTTTTCGTAAATAATAGCATTTTTTTATAGTGTTTCTTAACTTTTCCCGTTTTAAATGTTTTCTTTAATTTTACATAGCATTTAAAAGCATTTAAGTTTTAGCGAAAGATTAATAGAGTTAGGGAAAGAGTAATAGAGTTAAGGAAAGAGTAATAGAGTTAGGGAAAGAGTAATAGAGTTAAGGAAAGAGTAATAGAGTTAGGGAAAGAGTAATAGAGTTAGGGAAAGAGTAATAGAAAAAAAGAGCGCAAGGTTTTAATGTACATTTGCATTTTGAAAAATTTGCTGATGAAAAGCATAGGGTTACGGTAGCTTATCTTCGGCGCACGCTTTTTAGAAAACGCGTTGTCTGCAAGGAACACACTCTAGTCCAAACGTCGTAGAAAAGCGTCGATTGTGGCGAGAAGGTATAGGAGATCCAGCTCTTCCCAAGCCTTTTCGAGCGCTTTTTTCAAACTATCAACAGTTTTGTGTTGGTTGATAGTGCCAACTGATAGCATTTGTGATTCATTTTTCTTGTGGGCCTTTAACTTGAGCTTGCTTTTGATGATTCTTCTAAGGGATTTTCGCTTAATCTCCGTTTTTTGTGACATTTCGATTACGATTAGCTTGACGTTTTTCAACAGGTAGCACCGATAGCTAAGCGATAGCAAGTTGCAGAAGCAACCCGCATTGAAACAAGAGCACAAGGATCGCCGCTTAGCTTTTGCTCAAGCATAGATGGCCAAGAATTTGACGATATTGCGGTATTGATATTGTGATATTGATATTGATATTGATATTGATATTGATATTGATATTGCGATTTTCTTGGGTGAACGTGTTGATATGAAACGCAGGCACACGATGGCTTCATAGAAATAGAAATAACCACATAGAAACCATGATCAATTTGATTTTGATCAATCAATGATCATTTAACACCAACAGAAATCCACTCACCCAACACATCGATACAACTCTGATGATTCGCAATCAAAATATAGGGCTCATTCGATTGCAGTCGCTCTTTGTGCCGAATTTCGACATCTAACCGAAGAAACCAGTTCATTTTTTGGAAAAGATTGAACATTCGACTGGAAATGATCGTTTTTTGTTGAGCATTTTGTCGATTTCGCTTACAAGTGATTATTCGTCGTCCTCCCAAATGGAATACTTATCAAACCACCGAGGATTCCACCAATGATCATTGTACACAAGTAAAGAAATGTCTTCAAATGGTATCTAAAAATTGAATTGAAATAATTCTGTTTGAGTTGAAACAATTCTTTTTGAATTGAAGCAATCTTCAATAGTCTCGAGACCTTTAAATTATCTGTAGATGATCTTGAAGCTCTAGTGGATCCTCGACGTTATCTGTGCTACCCATCTATTCTTGATGATCTTGAAGCTCTAGTGGATCCTCGACGTTATCTGTCTTACCCATCTACTCTTGATGATCTTGAAGCTCTAGTGAACCCTTGACGTTATCTGTGCTACCCATATATTCTTGATGATCTTGCTCTTGAAGCTTTGGTGCTCTCTTTTCCCCTAGTGTTTTTCTTTCCAATGCCCATAGCATAGTTTCAAATAGCAAAAATCGCTTAGCTACTTTCCTACTTTCCGCTTAGCTACTTTCCAGACCATGACTCGTACCAAAATCTTATTCGTTTCTTGCTATTACCGAGACATGGCTAGACGACTCTCTAGTTTCCTCTGGAATCGACTCCCCAGAGTTTTGAGAGAGTCCAATAGTCTCGAAACCTTTAAATCATCTGTAGATGATCTCGAAGCTCTAGTGAATCCTCGACGTTATCTGTGCTACCCATATATTCTTGATGATCTTGAAGCTCTAGTGGATCCTTGACGTTATCCTTGGATCCGTGGATCCTTGACCCATAGATTCTTGAGATCTTGATCTTAAAGCTCTAGTGGATCCTTGACGTTATCTGTGTTACCCATCTATTACATACATTTCATCGTGTTGCTTTTTATCGGTGCCCTTTTCGTGTTATGTGTAGCGCATTTTATCTCTTAAATCTAGCGCACTTGATCTGAGGTGCTGAATAAAGTATCTAGATAATCCTGTCTACACGATGTCTACAGGATGTCCAATATTTCTTTTTCGTTTAGTTTAGCTCTCAAGCACCAAATTCAACATTAATCTTGTTAAGTCTTATATAAAATATTAAAGCCTTTAACCTTGAAAACATTTATCTATTAAAAGTTTCCCAAATCGAGATATACAACTCATTTTCCAAGCCCCTAAACATCGAAAAATACTCAATTTTCATTTCTTTCCTTGCACCACTAAAGGAACTTGACTTCAACTCGAATTTGAGTAAGACGATTCGGTCAAAAAGAGTTCTTAATGTTATTAAATGGTGTTAAATAATATTTTAACATAAAATAAATGATCGAAAAGCTTTTTCTGGTAACTTATCATAATAAAAATCGCGAAAAATGGTAGTGTGCTGGTGAGGGATCAGCTACTCATTCAAGGGCTTGTAAAATGAGTTGTATAGCTTCAACCAGGAAACTTTTAATAGAGAAATGTAGCCAAGATTAAGGGCTTTAATATTTTAATACTTAACTTCTTCAATACTTAACAAATTAAGGTTGAATTTGGCGCTTGGAAGCTAATCTAACAAAAAGAAGTTGCCATAAATACTGAAAACTGATTAGAGACTATTGCTAACTTTTTGTGTTATTGTCCTGGGTGTCGATTTGGGAATCGAGGCGCAAAATGCTCGAGTCGGATCTCGTTGTTCTCGGATATCGATGATCTCGTTGTTCTCTCAGTTTAGCTACTGTTTGAGTAAGGGAATCGTTTAATAATTTCGCGAATTTGTAGCCAAAAATAAAGCCAAACACAAAGCCAAATATAAAGCTAAATTTAAGGCAAAAATTGAGCCCAAAAATTTGGGCATAGTGACGCCTAAAACGGCAAAGCCGGCTCACGAAGGAATGACCAGCCCTGGCGGTGGGATTTCGACCTAAAAACTCAAGACAAAACGCCTATCGACTACACGGAACACGATAGGGAAATCCGTTTTTGCGAATGAGCAATAGTTTTTTTTTGCAAACACATTTTAAACGCACTTTTAGGTCATTTTCGATTTCCTCGATTTCAGAAAAAGCCTTTAAAGACCAAAGTGAGCGAGTGGGTAAAAAATGATTCAATTTTTTTTGTAATTCGATGCCCGACCGCGCAAACCCTTTTTTTCTTCTTTGTCAGTAATGTTCTCTTGTTTTACGGATATTGCATGCTTTAGTTTTATTTTTACGTCCAAATGGTGTCAGTTAAAATCGTTGTTGCGTTAGTTGTCTAGGAATTCCCGAGATTTTGCATCGAAATGCAGGTTTTACGGATATTCCTTTGTTTCTATGTGATCTTTGTGAAATAAAATTTGTGTTTTCTTTATTTTGTCAAAGACCTCCACCATCGCGTTAAACATTATTTGTTATTCTCAAGGAAAGCCAAAAATTTGTAGCAAATTAGAGAATTTGTAGCAAAAACACAGCCGAAATTTAGGGAAAATAGTGTTGCAGGGAATTTGCGCATAGCGATAGCCAAAACACGCGCGAGACGGCTCAGCCACTACCTTCACGAAGTGGAAAAGGGAGTACTATCTAGCGGGGGCATGTGCCAGATGGTGAGTGATTAGGCGCACACACAAAGAACATCTCGCCAGTGATTTTGAATTCATTTACAAGACTATCTATTGGGGGCATGTGCCAGCTGGAGAGTGATTACGTGCACACACAAAGAACATCTCGACAGTCATTTGAAAGAAACATTTACAAGAGTACCTATCTATCGGGGGCATGTGCCAGATGGAGAGCGATTACGCGAACACACAAAGAACACCTCGACAGTGATTTGAAAGATTCTTTTACAAGAGAACCTATCTAGCGGCATCGTGTGCCAGATGGAGAGCCATTACGCGCACACACAAAGAACATCTTGCCAATCATTTACAAGATTTTACTTTTACTTGTGATACAAAACAAAAAGAAGATATTCAGCTGTAAATTTGTACCCGGGGGTTTTCGAGGACGGGGAATCAATTGAAGATATTCATTTGCTGAGTGAGAGAACAAAAAGCCTCTTTTTTGAAGGGTTTATTGGTTAAACAAGCAGCTAAAATGAGAGAACAATGCGATGATTTGACTTGAGCGTAAAGTAAAATAGAGGGTCAAGTGTTTTGTGATTGGAAAGATTTAATTAGAGATTTTCGTCCATAGGTTTTTGTCCATTAGAGTAAACTTAATGGTTTTAAAGGGCTTCAATCCACATTACTATGTATTATTTTAGCACTAAACCTTTGGCTCTTTGCTCTTTGCCTTTGCTGAGCTTTGCACGTAGATTCTCCATCAGGCTTTTGGTCTTTTTTGCTATTCAGTTTACCGAAAATGAATTTTTGATAGAAATTTGCTTTAGAAATCGATTTCTTTAGACATAAATAAAGCAGTTTTCATTTCGAAGTGACTTTGAAGGGATTTTAACCAATTTTAACCAATTTTAACCAACTTTAACCAACTTTAACCAACTTTAACCAACTTTTAACCAACTTTAACCAATTTTAACCAACTTTAACCAAATTTAACCAACTTTAACCAACTTTAACCAAACCAAATCAAAGTACGCTAAGCTAACAGACAGCTAACAGACTAGAGAGTTTGCTAGAAATGCTAGAAATGCTAGAAATTGTAGCCTTGAGCACAAAAAAAGAATTTTCTCACTTGAATCTCGTGTTCCACAAAACGGCAATGATAATGACGCAAATGGCAGTCCATTTTAAACAGGAACACGCACAGCAATCATCATGAGAATGATCGTCAGAGTCATCGGTACTGTGATCCATTTGAATTCAGTGAATTCTGAAAATCGAGTCCTTTAAGTTATCGGAAAACTTTGAAACTTTGAAACTTTGTAAAACTGACACTCATATTGGAAAAAGCAAGAAAATGATCCGATCGCTTGGCTCTTTACTGCTTTTCTTGAGAAATGGCTAGACAAGATAGAGATAAACAAAACAATCAATCGAGTTCGATCAAGGACAACAATTGCATGCAATAAAAGCAATTAAAAGAGTTTCAAAGGTGATCTAATGTCTAAAAATGGAATCAGATTTATTCTGATGCTGTTTCTAGATAGCTGAATACGATTAGCTCTCGTAATTGAGGTAGAACAAAACCAGAAAATGAACAGTGTATCAGAAAAGTGCTTATTCAATGTTACCTATTTTCTCTCTATTGAAAAGTTGATAGTACAGGCTAAGAATAACTGGTTTAGTTGGCTAAGAATAACTGGTTTAACTGGTCAAGAGTAACTGGTTTAGTTGGCCAAGAGTAACTGGTTTAGTTGGCCAAGAATAACGGGTTTAACTGGCCAAGAATAACTGGTTTAGTTGGCCAAGAGTAACTGGTTTAACTGGCCAAGAATGACTGGTTTAACTGGCCAAGAATAACTGGTTTAGTTGGCCAAGAGTAACTGGTTTAACTGGCCAAGAATGACTGGTTTAACTGGCCAAGAATAACTGGTTTAACTGGCCAAGAATAACTGGTTTAGTTGGCCAAGAGTAACTGGTTTAACTGGCCAAGAATGACTGGTTTAACTGGCCAAGAATAACTGCTTTAGCTAGTCTTTTTTTAAGATTTAATCCTGACTTTTTCTGAACAAAGATCCCTTTCTTTGTTCAGGAACCTTTCTCATTTGCTTTTAAGTTGGATAAAGCTGGATAGAAATGGATAAAGCTGTGTGAGATCTCGCACAGCAGTAACACAAAGAACAAAGAAATAAGTCAGCCATTTTAAGGAAAGGAGAGAGTTTGAAAAGTTGAGATTTTCATCGGAAAAAGCTTTCCAAAATGGACTTGAAAAATTGACAAGTAAATTGACAAATAAATTGAGAGAAATTGGCATAAACATATCGAAAAGTTTTGTTCATAAAACTTCATAAAACTTGACCCCATTTTCAAGGTGGTCAAAGTTTATTCTTCTTTCTAAAAGAATTAATCACAAAAATCTGCCCAGCAATCACTTTTTGTCAAGAAAAAGGAAAAAGAAAGGCAAAAAGAAGAAAAAGAGAAAGACAAAGAAAAAAGAAAGACAAAAAGACAGACAAAAAGAAAGACAAAAAGAAAAACGAAAAAAAAAGATAAGAAAATTTTCGAATTTAAAGTCTGAGATTGAATTAAATCTGAAT